CAAAAAAAAAAAAAAGAAAGTTAGATACATTTTTTTTTTTTACGGAGGTCTTTTAACAGCCCAGAGCAACAGAACAGTGTAAGCCAATAATTTATAGTCATAACACTAACAAGTGATACTGAAAAAGGCCAACAGTAAGCACAGCAAAAATCATTATCTGTACTTGTACTTCTGCTGAGGATTTCATCACAGTGATGGGGAATGAATTACGGTCTAACTTAGCAGGTCTTAGTGTAATGCGAGTTGGGGACATATTAACCTCATTGATAACTGAATTGCTCCAATGAATTTGACTTCTGTAACATTTAAGTACGATGGCTCATAAAGAGAGGTCCATTTTAAATTCATCACCATGAAACTGCACGTCTCCCGGGGCGACCACTTCTGAGTTAATTCCAAAAAAATTTGACATTTAAATTGGATTTCTGCATGGATGCTCAACGCGGTTAATGACAGGAAGCACCTCGACATCAAACCTAGTGTTTTGATAGCAGCCGTTTCATACAGCCATTTCGATATAATTGAAAGTTAAGAATTTCTTCACTGCACAGACGCTGTCTTAAGTAATACACCTACTAATCACTAAGTGTGGGGCAGCAGCGAGTGCATCAGAAGAATCATTTGCATCTCAGTGGGAATGAATGAGATGTCAGTGCCTCCCAATTTATATTTTGATAATGATTACTATTTAATATATTGTGCACCTCAAAAATGTATGCTGCTTCTTTTTTTTATGCAAACATACTTGGAAAATAAACTACACAACAAGATTTAATTAATACTTATAAATCTTAGGGTGACAGGGGATGTTCTATTAACGAGAGGAGAATTTATTAACATTGTGATTACAGACTTTTACAGTGTAAAGAATGTTTATCAGGCCAAAAAAAACAACAACCAAAATGAACATTTTTTTGTAATAAAGGTGAGGGTAATATTTCTGTTTTTCCGTTTACACTTTACTTGTGATCGCTGCCATGCATTCCATCTGAATTATTCTCAATGTGAACTATTATCAGATTTCAACGTTGACAGCTACATTCATCATACTGCATGCTGCCGCTGGCGGCAGATTTGCATAAAGGTTTGTCAGGAGAGCCGAATGAAAAGCAAGGCCTCTTTCTGACTTCGTGGGGTCTTGGGGTGTGATGGGAGCTCAGGAAGCTGACTAACAAAATGACAAAGAGTTTCACCATCACCTGGTTAGAAAAGTGCATTTCTACTGAGTCATGGTCAGCAGGATGGCAGCAGCTGCCACCTGGGACTGACGGGAGTTTTCAGGACCAGGCAGTAATGGGGAAATGTGATTTCCATTCAGGATACGCGGCAACGTTAGACTGAACATGAGCAGGCTTTCAGGATCTCTATATAACACCAACAGGAAACACTATCTTGGATCAATATATTACAGCGCGCTATGAAAAGAGTCGGCCCTGCAGATGCAGCTTATGGATTAGTTTATAAAGAGTGTTTGCAGCTTTTCACAAGAGTTTAAAATAATTAGAAGCTGCATAAAAAAGTATTTTTTTGCCACGAGCTATGTGAGAAAGTTCTTAGACATCTAATCTAAATGGATTAATGAAAGTAAATTATCTTTACACCTTCCTTTAAGCAGCTGCTCCCCTTTGAGATAAGCAAGGATGGTGGGTAAATCATTTAGTTTTATACATCCTTGGATTCAATGCGTTTCATGCTTTAGTAGCTGGGGAAAATGAGGGGAGGAGGGGAAAGATTTAAAAAAAAGACTTCTAAGCAGCTCAGAGTTTTTATGCTTTTTTTTCTTTTGTATACGAGAAAAAGCTCTGAAGGCTAAGATGCGGTGAGAAACAGCAGCCGGCAAGAGCAGTTATTGAATCTTGTAAATCTTCCCAACATGTCTATATTTTCTTATTTCAAGGTGTTTGTTTTGCTTCATGGCTGCTTTCATCTGGGCCGACAAAATTAAAGGCAGACAAGGGGAAAGAAAGAAAGAAAGAAAGAAAGAAAGAAAGAAAGAAAGAAAGAAAGAAAGAAAGAAAGAAAGAAACAAAGAAAAACAAACCAGACATCAGGTATTCGAAATTCTACCAATGTTTTGCAACTGAAACATGTTATCTTATTAGAAATAAAATACTACAAGTAGGTCTGCCACAATAAACAATAAATCGATTAATCACATGATAAATTAGAGCAAACTCAATAATTTCCATTTGTTTCCATTATTGTTTTTCTTTTTTTCTCTCCTTCTTTCAACCAAAAACTGGACGATAAAAGTTTTCAGTCTGGTGCGTTGGTCTAAAATCTTGTTTATAGAGACTCTATAATTCACTTTTTTTGTTTCTGCTGTTCTGTTTATTTATTTTGGACAATTAAGATGTCTTCCAGTTTCAGTGTTAAATGTTCATTATAAACTAAAGTTTACTGGTCTTTTAGAAAGTTTTCTTGCATTATTATGCCATTACCATCAGATTACATGAATATGTCACAACATCATCGTATACAGTGATGACTTCTGGAACAATATATTAACCAGCAAAGTTTGTTATCATGACAGACAAGTCAAATAATTCATAAATATTCAACATGGAGGAAGTCCGAGAAGTTATTGCCACTTTTTACTGATGCCTATCAAAACATCAAGCAGTATTAGCATCTCTAGCCAGTGTTTTGATGAGTTACAGATATTGCTGCTATGCAGAAAACCTATAATCGTGATATTTAAGAGTGAGTTGGTTACCTGAAACAAGATAAACCTTGTTTTCTAAAAAGTTAAAAGTTTAGAACTATTAAAAGTTATCGTCACAGTTAAATAAGATGGCAGAGGAAATGATAGAGAACTGGGATTTTTCTTTAACTGCAGGTGGTGATGCTCTGCTGGCTATTTTTGGCTATTAGATATTTACTTTATTTCCTTTCCTTCATTTTAATTTTCACACAGTCCTCCCTGAGCAATGAGAGTCTATGCAAGTAAGCATTTTGATTCTGCTACAATTGTGACTTGACATCTTACGCAAGAGTCCATTTTACTATTACGGGTTTAAATTGTCAATGTAATTTAGTTCAACACTCCATGACAGACTATTCGAAACAGGCAATCTTGCCCTTTTTACTACAAGTTGTTTTGTCACTTGATTTTTTATTTTATTTTTTTTTTTCAGGTTATGTTACCTGACAAAAGCTAGTTCTGATTAGTTTGGTGACCCGTTTCTCTTTGAAAAGCCTTGTTTGCCTTCATATTTTACAACTCTGAAACGTTTTCATAAAGTAATGGACTGCTAAACCAAGGATTTTTAGAGCTTTGTCTTTGACGGCCTTTTTGAACTGCTTTGTCATAATAACTTGTATCCTCAGACGGCTCTTCTCTTCACTGTGAAATAGAAGCTGGGAACAATCAGATCCGTTTTATGCAGTAAACCATTATTGATTAGTTGAAGTCACATGATGGGGGGTGGGAGGGAAGTCGGGTCTCGTTAATTATTTTGTTTGAGGAACTCATTTCGATTTAAGAAGCGACTGACTTCAGATTGTCTTGTGGCTTTGATTCATCCAAACCGTCTTGTTTTTCATTCATTTTGGACATATTTTGAAAACAACAGAAATTATTTCCAGCTATTTCCTAAATATCCAAAATTTACAAGTGATAGAGCAACATTTGTGAAGGCTGTTTCCAAACAGAACTACTTTTATGATTCTCAAACACAAAACAGCACACTTCTCTGTCTTAAATTTGCATCAGGAAGAAATTACTTTTAAGTAAACTGCATGATTCCAATCACAAACGGCATCATGGAATTAAAATGCCATTAGTTCACATTTAGCGAGATTTAGATCCATTTAAAACTGGCGTCTTTATTTGGAAAACTGGTTTAAAGTATAAAAAGCTCTAGACCTTACTGGTAATTTCAAAAATACAAAAAAAAAAAATAATAATAATAAAAAAAAAATAGTACAACATATTAGAGAAAACAATTTTTCAGTTATGGGTATGCTGAAACATAAGATAAAAAAGTTTTTAAAAGCTCATTACAGTGCAAACTTCTCTAATTTAGTCTGGTAAATGGCAAGTTTTCAACATACCCCATTAACTTTTTAAATCAATATCTAAGCTACTGGCAAACAGAAATATTGCTTGGGCAATTTTCAACTAAAGCAGGAATGGAAACTGGTTTATTAAAGTTGGTCAGCCTGATGTGTGAGACTGCCTTTGTTGTAAACCGTAGAGTTGAAAGTTATTTATCACATTGTCACAGAATTTCACTTCTCATCCAGAGCCAAAGTAGCTCAATATTTCTGCAGAAAAAGGTTAAAAACATGACGGTGACAAGAACAGACACGTTTTTCATCCTCAATCAATTATGGATCAGTGAGGGTTAACATCTCTGTTCAACTGACGAAGAAAATTGACTTTAGCTGAAGATTCCCATCACAGACAGACAACTAAGCTGTTATTAAGAGAGTAAATTATGACATGTAATGCACATTAAATCAAGAGGGAAACAGCAACAATCAACATTTTGCATGTCTGTGGAGGTTTAGTTGAAGTTGCTGTAATATGAGCACTAGCAAATGTTTCCCTTCTCCTTTTTTGAGTCACTATTTCTATGGAAATGAATCATTTCTCACTCTTCAATAGTCATAGGCATGTGTAAGGTATTTTGAGCTGCTTGCAACAACAGCTTCCATAATTTTCACAGCTAATACACGTCTGGTTTCTTGTTAAAATTGTTATGGTCATACAATATATTTTAGAGTGGGGGGGGGGGGGGGGGATCACAACCTAAGTCAGATTTTATCTCGCTTGATTTACTGTTAAATCGAGCATGCACTGTAAAATTGTACCTGCACCCCAGCTCACTCCATCACTTTCACATGCATGTCTAAACACGACACAACGGGCATTAATGCAGTTGTGAGCAATATTTAAATTACCCAATACATGTGCTTTAACAGATTAATGAAGCCACTGACGTTAAATATCACTGGAATGAGCAGAGATGCTGCATGTATGGGTGGAGCCTGACCTCATTGGCGTAGACCCAGTGACTGTCCTTCGATGCAAGGTTGGTTTCAACCGCCTGCAGTGAGAAAAAAATTAATAAAAATTAATTTCAGCTTAATGCAATATCAGCAAGAATGGAATGGCCATAGGATGGGTACAGTAAATAGAACTAATCACTGTACGTACTATATGAAAAGTATATATATAAATGAGTTCATAATTAATAAAAAAAAATTAACAGAATTTCAAATGGGATTCTTCAAATAAAGGGTTAAAATAAAGGATTTATGTGGTCATACTTTACTAAAAGATATTCAGAAGACGGACTTCATGTAAAAGCCTTTGTGTTGTGTTACTATAACTAGAACAACAGACTAAGATGGGCTATTCTTCATTCAGTGCTTCTTTCAGCTGCAGTGTTTCTTCTTATCAAAGATGTCAACATGTCCTGGGACCCAACATTTAACCTCTGACCTTTTAGAAAGGCGGCTTTTCTCCAAAACACATAAAAACATGGAAAAATTGAATCACTGATAATTCCAGGGTTCGATGATTAATGCTTTGAATCCTCAGTACATGTTATTTGCTTCCTAATGTCCTTCACATGCCTAATTTGATCTCAGAGTAGAGGAGACAGAAGATGGAAAAATGCACAACAAACCAAGCTAGTCTTTAACATGTACTTTGGTAAAAAAAAGTATTTTTATTGAGAATGGGGCCTGGAGTGACACACGCACATTACAACCCTAGTATTAAAGAAACTGCATCAACCTCACTCTTTTTTTTTTTTTTTTTTTTTCCCTGATTTTCCAAAAACATTTAGATAATGATTATTATTACTCACAATGTCAGTCGGGCTGTTGGAGATAAGCACGACGAAACACTGTGCAGGATTTGCTTTTAACAAAAATCATGGTTTCACCAAGTACTGCCCCATGTAACCAGAAGATTCATTTTGTCACTGATTTTCTGCCGTAGAGGACCCTTCATTTGAGCAAATGGCTGTTTACAGTGATCATACTCATCTTTTCTCCAGAAACTGCATAACTATTTTATAAATAGCATTGTGTACTGAAGGAAAAAACCACGTTAGGACAAAGGATGCTTTAAAAATATTTTAACCCTGGCATCACCTGAACACAAGGACACATTTTTCTGCAAGTCTTAATCTTTCCTTTTATTATCCCGCCACAGTCCTATTACAGTGTTTCCTTTCTGGAGCCGAAAGCCATCTGCACAGCCAACAGCCTTCTTATTCAAAGGTGAATTTTGGGTGAGAAAATCAGATTTCTCTAATCCCTGTGCTAACCCCCTTTGCAAAGCGGTTATGATAGAGAGCAGAGAGTAATCTGGTTTTCTAGGCGTAAATGAATGCACATAATGACTCCAAATGCTTTGAACATAGGTGAAGTAATCTCACAAATCATTTTCAACCCACCCCGCCCCTCCGTGTCATCATTGAGATTGTGTGAAACTTCCGTCTGTCAACAACTCTCTACTCTGCATTCACTAGTACAGGCTGCTGAAAAGGTAACGTCAACACCGTAAACATCTCACGCATTTTCAGGTTTTTCTTTCTTTTTTATTGCATATTTCTCAGAAACAACAGAAGCAATTTGGAAATAAACACACATTACTTAAAAGCTTCAACACAGGTGAATAGGGACCGTCATAATCCACTATATATGCCTTTCAATATTGAAGAGATCAAGAAACTGACTTCACTGCCGGATTTGCACTTTGAACAGGAGAAATCATCACAGGTGACCAACATTCAATATGCCTTGCACATTGTATGTTTTATAAAGCTATATTATGTTTTTGAATGTGTTTAGGCATTTATTTCTATAAAATGATCATTTGTCAGAATAATTACTACAGTCTTTCTAGAACTTGGGCTATAATTTTTCATCTCTTTCATCACAAGCCTTTTGCCAGTTTTTTTTTTTATAACTCTAATTATACTTTGACAGGTGGTACAATAAAAAAATAAAGTGGTTTCCTTGTATTTGGGCAAAGACGCATCAGTTCAATTAAGGGATTAGTCACTACTACAGAGTCAATTCATTGTGACTAACAAAAGTAAACTGACAAGCTACAATAATCAAGACTACTATATATGAATTACTATTCAAACTTAAAGGGAGTGAAAGCTCTTTTTTTCCTGGAAGCCATAGAAGTCGCACAATGTTTTTTTTTTTCTTTCTTCAATTTGAGAGAAGAGGGAAGGGTGATAACTGGCATACATAAGACATTTTTATGAAAGAGGTGGATTGCATTCAAGCTTAAAAACAATCAAGTTATCTCAAATCACACAACTATGCATTTGATTAAATGTGGATAACCTGCCAAGCTGTGCCATGAGTGAGAGCTGATTGTGAGTCTAATAGCAAATAATCACAAAATGTTTCTTGTAATCGCAGTGAAGAGAAAATAGCAGCAAATCCCTGTCGTCTGCGAGTAATCTGTCCATTCTCACATCACAGATTATAATATCTCGCCGTCTCTAAATAAAATCTGACAATGGTAACTATTGTCTGCCTTGAAGATAAAACCTTGACGTTCCAGAGGAACGACAGTTCTTTGGGGAGAATTCATTCTTCCAGACAAAATCTGTCAGATGGCATAATGGTAAAGTCAAGTGTTGTGGTGTGAGTTAGTTAACACAAACAGCGCCAGCTGGGATTGATGTCTTGGCGCAAAACAGACAACAATGCTTGAGATGCTCTGCATCCTTTTTTGAAGGCCGGCTAAACACTGACAACACCAGACACCCTGGAAATGAACCTTTGCGAATGAAATGGCGTTTGAAATCTGATGCTGAGCTACATCTGTTCTGACGCAACAAACACATAATTGATCTGTCATTCTGGGAGACGTCATTCTTTGCTGCGTATTGTTTTCTCCAGCATCGTCCTCCGGGGGAGAAAAAAAGTTAAGAAAGGCGGCGAAAGCAGGAGTGTTATGAAAATGCAATTAGATAAGTGAAGTATGAAATCGAAGACAAAATTGATGTTAGTTGCAGCAATGCTTTAATTTACTAGGTGCCTAAGGTTGGCTGTGTGGGAATCTAACGTTTGCACTATTCTGCTTAATCCGTTCCTCGCTAATTTCATGTCTGCTAAACTGAGAAAGGATCTTCCTCTTTGCATAAAACTAATCACATCTCAGTCTAAAATCAATCTCATAAGTCAGATGCCATCAGCATCTAGGTACAGTACTTTGACGCTGTGTGTTATTTTTTTATTAGTTGAAATCTAGAGAAAATTTACATTTCTCTAATAATTATAACACAAGACAAAAGAACAGCATTCAAAATATTCTAATTCTGTCTTCCTGCTGTGAGTGGTCAGAATTTTTTTTTTTTTAGAAAAGGTGATGCAACGCCACATATAACAGAGCGGCCACTGACAATTAAGACAATTAAGTAATACTTAATGCAAGACTTCAGCATCTTGCATTAAGTATTACTAAAATTGACATTACAAAAACATCCACACCACCCACTTGTATGGTGGTATGATTTTGTTAGTGCTACCTTGTGGCATTCGACAGTGTGCTCACTGACTAAGAAAAAAACCCCAGTTTATTTTCTGACTGGCCGGTCACCGGTCAGGGCTGATCAAGCAGGTTATCAGTCTCCTCCAGTCAACAGCCCATTTTTTGGTGGATCGCCACATAAATCATCCTACAATAGCAGGATACTGTTAACATTTTTATATGCAAAAAGATGCAAACTAAAACAATGAAGAAATTTTTTTTGTTTCATTTCAAATAAGAAGGTGGTGGAGTCTGTCACGTTACCCTTGTGTGGACTTTGTACGACGCTCAGTAGGAGTGCAGCACATGTAAACGTCAGACAGTGGGGAAAGCGCGGGGAGTGTCGTCAGACAATCAATATCCAGAAAAAAAACAGAAAAGACACGCATGTAGGGTCACAGACTAAAAAACTCGTGGGGTCCAAATGAGCCCATCCTTAACGACCACGGCAAAGTTCTAGTTGGGAGGGTCCTGGTCCCAGTTATGGTAAAAAGAAATAGGATTAGCATTCCTGCAACAATCTGGTAATACCAAGGTAAACTGTTTTTTGAATAAGGTAATGGTAAAAGTACAGTACAGATTTGGATTTTTGTTTTCTTTTTTGCAGTCTGATGATATATCACCTAAAAAACTCTACTTAAAGATTGTTTTTTTTTTTTTTTTTTTTTTTTTTTTTTTTTGAAAGACCAATATTTCATCTAATTCCCACATGGTGTTTCACTCAAACTTTATGCAACTCTGGGAGGAAGGAAGTGCTGAGACACTGCAGGAGATTATTGAAATTATTCCACAAGCATTTCTTTTGAATGAGCAGCATACTTGAATCACACCTGCATCAGAAGGAGGAATTTCTTCATCAGCATGTCAAGGAAGCTGGTCATGAGCTATTTATTGTATTCATATATCTTGTTAGAGCTGGATTCAGGCACCCTTGTTTAAGGTGTTCAATATAAAACAATTGTAAAACTCTAGGGCTGCCTTTCCGAGATCAAAATGTTTGCACTTTGACTGCACTTGTGCAACTTGCCAGAGTTTGTTTGGACCTTCACGTTCCTGCTTTCTAAAAATGTAGCATGAATACACAAAACAGGAGACGCAAAACTGGCTGCAGCACTTCAGCTACTTCTAAAGTAGAAGAAATGAAGTTATTGGTCTAGTTGCACAGTTATTATTACAACTTTTAAAACAAATAGTGTATAATAATCAGCAGATGTAAATGCTTCATCAGGGCATTCCAACTCAGTTTCACACGGAACAACATCCTGGTTTTCTCATCCAGATGAGGAATAAATACTTGTTCAGATCCAATAAAAGCTGTTCCTAAAAGAACACGGATTTGTTTGTCTTCTTCAACTCACTCTGCTCCTCGATCTCTCACCTAATGTGTGAATTCAGCATCAACATTTGCTTCATTTGAAGCAATTCGCTCTAATTTCAAGGTCAGGTCACTGCACATAGCAACCAAACTTTTTTTTTTTTTTTTTTTTTTTTTTGATTTTAAGCGAATTGCTTCCACAGACTCTTGGCAGTAATTTA